TGGTCACCAGGGGGAAGGATGGGGAAAGGGATAGTCAGGGAGTCTGGGATGGACATGGACACGCTGCTGTATTTAACATGGAGAACCAGCAAGGACCTGCTGGCCAGCACAGGGAACTCTGCTCAATACTCTGTGATAACCTGATGGTCCCCAGGGGGAAGGATGGGGGAAGGGATGGTCAGGGAGTCTGGGATGGACATGGACACATGGCTGTGTTTAACATGGAGAACCAGCAAGGACCTGCTGTCCAGCTCAGGGAACTCTGCTCAATACTCTGTAATAACCTTACGGTCACCAGGGGGAAGGATGGGGGAGGGATAGTCAGGGAGTCTGGGATGGACATGGACACACTGCTGTGTTTAACATGGAGAACCAGCAAGGACCTGCTGGACAGCCCAGGGAACTCTGCTCAACACTCTGTGATAACCTGATGGTCACCAGGGGGAAGGATGGGGGAGGGACAGTCAGGGAGTCTGGGATGGACACGGACACGCGGCTGTGTTTACCATGGAGAACCAGCAAGGACCTGCTGGACAGCTCAGGGAACTCTGCTCAATACTCTGTGATAACCTGATGGTCCCCAGGGGGAAGGATGGGGGAAGGGATGGTCAGGGAGTCTGGGGTGGACGTGGACACGCTGCTGTGTTTACCATGGAGAACCAGCAAGGACTTGCTGGACAGCCCAGGGAATTCTGCTCAGTACTCTGTAATAACCTGATGGTCCCCAGGGGGAAGGATGGGGGAAGGGATAGTCAGGGAGCCTGGGATGGACGTGGACCCACGGCTGAATTTACCATGGAGAACCAGCAAGGACCTGCTGGACAGCCCAGGGAACTCTGCTCAATACTCTGTGATAACCTGATGGTCACCAGGGGGAAGGATGGGGGAAGGGATGGTCAGGGAGTCTGGGATGGACATGGACACATGGCTGTGTTTAACATGGAGAACCAGCAAGGACCTGCTGGCCAGCTCAGGGAAGTCTGCTCAATGCCATGTGGTAGCCTGGATGGGAGGGGAGTTTGGGGCAGAATGGATACATCTACATGTATGGCTGAGTCTCTTTACTGTCCACCTGAAACTATCACAATATTGTTAATAAGCTATACCCCAATACCAACTAAAAAGTGCTTTTTAAGAAAAGCAGCCATAGACTCATTAAAAAAGACCCTGATGCTGGGAAAGATTGAAGGCAGGAGGAGAAGGGAGTGACAGAGAATGAGATGGTTGGATGGCATCATGACTCAACGGACATGAGTTTGAGCAAAGTCCAAGAAATAGTGAAGGACAGGGAAGCCTGGCGTGCTGCAGTCCACGGGGTCGCAAACAGTTGGACATGACTGAAAGACTGAACAACCACCACAAAATTGACAATATGGCAACAAATGTGCGTGGCTCTGTGCTAATGAAACGCTATTTGCAGAAACAACTAGCAGGCCAAACGTGGACCATGGGCCACAGAGTGCCAACCCCGAGTCAGTCTTTCTAAAGCAATGACACCATTTAGTCTCTTGAAACTGGTCATAAAAGTGTTAGTCATTCAGTTGTGTCCAATTCTTTGCAACCCCATGGACCACAGCCCTCCACACTCCTCTGTCCATGGGATTCTCCAGGCAAGAATACTGGAGTGGGCTGCCATTTCCTTCTCCAAGGGATCTTCCCAACCTAGGGATCAAACCCAGGTCTCGTAAGTGGTGCTTGTTTCTAATGAGCATATGGCTGTAGTTTGTTTTTGAAATGTTGGCATCATGTTCCCATTTTACAGATGAGGAAACTGAGGATCAGAGTTTCATTCGCTTGTTTGGGAATGTAGTGTGAGAGGGCCAGAGTCACCTCACAAGATGAGAGCTTCCTTGAGGCTTAAATGAAAGCATTTCGCCCCATCCCACTTCTCTTTCTGCCTCATCCACTCCCTCTTTATAAGCTTCCCAGTCATCTACAGAAACACATCTCATGGGGCAGGAAGCAAACACACCCTCAGAGATAAATGGAAGAGGAAGGCACTGTTAGCTCCTTTTACAATTTGCGTGATTTCCAGGGCAAGATCCATTCAGTATTTAGTAGGACTATCTAAATTCAGCCTTGAAAACAGTTTCTTTTATTAACAAACTCTATGTAGTGCTTTTGGCAAAGGAAGATGGAACAACTTGGATTTCAGAAGAAAGATTTACGGTTTCCTCTCTGAACCTTTCGTAGTTAATTCCACCAGCAAAAAGTAAGAGGCACAATGTTGGAACAACCTAGTGCCTACGATGCGGAAAATGCCAAATGAAATCACTTGTCCCCCCTGGAGAAATGCAGGTCTATTATTGCACTGACATGAAATCCCATGAGAAAGGAGCCCTTCCTCTGTCCTGCCCGGGGAGAAAGGCCATCACCTACTGTGAGCCAGGCACCTCAAGGTGTCCCAGCAATGCCAGTGTTTACATAAAGAAACCCACCTCCACATTTGCACAGAAAACCAGTGTGCAAATGGCAACAGAGAGACCTTTCGATGATCATGCTGCAGAAGACAAGCTTCATGTAATATCACTGACATGTGGAACCTAAAGAACTGATGCTTTCAAATTGTGGTGCCGGAGAAGACTCTTGAGAGTCCCTTGGACTGCAAGGAGATCCAACCAGTCCATCCTAAAGGAAATCAACCCTGATTATTCATTGGAAGGACTGATGCTGAAGCTAAAGCTTCAATACTTTGGCCCCTCGATGTGAGGAGCCGACTCATTAGAAAAGATCCCGATGCTGGGAAAGATTGAAGGCAGGAGGAGATGGGGACGACAGAGGATGGGATGGTTGGATGGCATCACTGATGCAATGGACATGAGTTTGAGCAAACACTAGGAGATGGTGATGGATGGGGAGGCCTGGTGTGCTGCAGTCCATGGAGTCGCAAAGAGTTGGACATGAGCTAGTAACTGAGCAACAACCACAACCCTTAGCCGCATGCTGAAAGAATTGGCCTCAGCTGCTTAGTGGGTCTGTGAGGGTCCCATCATTCTGTGATGCGTCTTTAGTGACGACACTAGAATCTACCACGAATTCCAGGCGTGTGTTTTTTGCTTCAGACGTGCATTCTGCAATGCTGAATGCTGGGCACGTTTGTAAAACCAAGAAATAGAACGATTTAATGGTGAGTGTGGGGATTGCCCAAACGGTGCACCTTCATTCAACGAAAGCCCATTTCAACTGACGGACAGAGGGCTAATCCGAGACCCGAGCGGTGCTCAGACACACAGGAAGGGCTGGAGTGACGTGACCCTGCTGTCTCCCCGGAGCGTGTGCCTCTTTGGAGGTTGGCAGCCATGGTCATGGCACCTCTGCTCAGGTCCCGCCCAGCTCCAAAGGGGATCCGTCCTGTGCATGCAGAGACTGCACACCATGTGCCTCGTGTGCACACGAGCATCTGAGATCGCCAGACCACAAGCAGGCAACGGGGCCAGTGGGAACACGGTGTGACCACAGCACGCCCGGACCACGTGTGAACTGGGAAAGTCAAGGCCCAGACTTCCCGAGCCCCGTGCAGATCCTCGCCTCTGAACCCACCGCTGACTATTTATTTGCACGGCCTCTCTCGATCATCGGAGCACAGGGAGACAGTCCTCATTCGAGAACCGTCTCGCAATTCTGTTAGTTCTCTTTCCGGCCTGCTCAGCGTTTCCACCTCGGAGCGGGGTGTGCGGGATATACCATTCTTAAAGGGGCTTTTTAAAAGGAAGAGTTAAAAAAAAAAACCTACAACAAAGGGGACTTCCCTGGTGGTCCAATGGCTAAGACTCCGCACGCCCGGTGCAGGGGACCGGGGTTCAATCCCTGGTCAGGGAACTGGACCCCACGTGCAATGAAGACTGAAGGGTCCGCCTGCCACAACTCAGACCTAGTGCAGTCAATTAAAAACAAAAAAAAAAGTCTACAATAAACACTGGAATGGCATCCAAATATTTAAATTATTTTGGCTGCAAATCTTCCACTTGAGACCTGTAATTATCTCGATAAAGGTGTGGCAGTATTATTCTAGCGAGATATAGACAGACTAGCTGAAACATAAGAGGGTGTATGGGCTCAGTTGCGCCTGACTCTTTTGCTTCCCCATGGACTGCAGCCCACCAGGCTCCTCTGTCCAGGGGATTCTCCAGGCAAGAATACTGCAGTGGGTTGCCATTTCCTCCTCCAGGGGATCTTTCTGACCCAGGGATCGAACCTGCGTCTTCTGCATTGGCTGGCAGGTCCTTTACCACTGAGCCACCTAGACATCCAAAATGGAAAGCAATTGCAATTTATAGCAGCCAGTGCAAACCTTCCCATCTTGAAAGACTGACGTTACACACCTCACATTCTTCATTAACATCACAATGCCTGCCTAAAATGAGCTTGAATGACCTCCTGCCGAGGACGATAACTGCTGATTAGTAAGTGAATAACCTCACTAACCTTCTTCCATGAAAATGAACCTGGCTGATTAGCCAGGCCACTGTACCATTTATTCAGAAAGCCCAACACAACTGGAGAAATAAACACAGAGCTATTCTTAATATCCAGTCCAATCATGTCCTTGCACTATCCCAGACTAAACCAACCACAAATGGAAAACAGTGAGTATTCATCACACTCACAGAGGTTTTAGAAAAGCAGCGAAATGAGAAGGGAAGAAAGTGATAGCCACGATTAAAGTGCCTCAGGACGCATTTAAACTCTGCCTGGTGTGAAACAGGAGGTGAATGCACGCTCAGCGGAGCCACTGTTTTCAAGAGACCTGCACCATCTGATGTGGCAGACACGAAAGCTGAGAAAACATCATCGTGATGACAGTTTCCGGAGCCTCGCAGAAGTCAAGACCCAGGGATCCTCCCAGCCATGAATTCCTGCGGCTCCTTCAGAGGCATCTGGTCCCATTCACTCAGCACAGCAAAGCCACGTGCTGGCCAAACACACCCGTACCAGCCTGCAGACTCCATGGATTTCCCCTCCATCGCGAGGTGGGTGGGTGGGCGGCAAGCACCACTGACCTTTGGAGGAGCGGAAGTGCTTGCTGGGGGCGGTGAAGCCTCGGGTCCCGTGCACGTTGACGGCCGCCACGCGGAACTGGTACCATCTGCTGGGCCGGACGTCCGTCAGCTGCACCCGCTCGTCCGTGGTCTGAGAGGGAAGAGGCACACAGAAGCCTGTTACCCTGATGTGCCCGCTGCGTCTGCTTTGTAAACACACGCTCGACTCGTCTGCGGACTCGACAGTCCCGCTCTCCCCCTGCCCTCCTGGGTGAGGACAGGCGACCCTGCTGAGTTCCAGGGAGGGCTGTCGGGATCAAGGAATTTCCAGGGGAGGTTCCAGCGGCTCCATGCCACTCACAGGTATCTATTCCCAAGGACTCTGACAGCTCTGTGGAAGTCAAAGTCTCATGATGAATGCACGGGCTGGTTTTTACCTCTGGTGACTATATACCGCATTGGAGGGTTTTCACTAATGAAGTATACATATGAATGAATAATGGGCTTCCCCTGTGGGTCAGAAGGTCAAGAATCTGTCTGCAATGCGGGAGACCCAGGTTCGATCTCTGGGTCAGGAAGATCCCCTGGAGAAGGGAAATGGCAACCCACTCCAGTATTCTTGCCTGGAGAATCCCATGGACAGAGGAACCTGGTGGGCTACAGTCTGTGGGGTTGCAGAGAGTTGGCCACAACTGAGTGACTGTTGCTTTACTTCATGAATGAATAAATATATGAAGCGATCATTACATTACAAAGAACATGCAATCATCTGTAGATGACAGAAGGAAAATGCCTCATACTTCCACACCAAAGATAATTCTGGAAGTAGGTATGTGAACCCACACACTTAAATTCTGGAAGTACATGGCAACTCAAGGCTTTTTCTTTCTTTTCTCTTTTTTATTTAGCTTGAGTAAATCATGTAAGATGCACATAGATTCATGTTCCTGAAGGGTGAGGTGTGTTACTATGTGGAGGTGGTTTAATCACTAAGTCTTGTCTGACTCTTTCTGACCCCATGGACTGTAGCCCACCAGGCTCCTCTGTCCATGGGATTCTCCAGGCAAGAACAATGGAGTGGGTTGCCGTATCCTTCTCCAAGGGATCTTCCCGACTCAGGGATCAAAGCTGAGTCTGCTGCATTGGCAGGTGGGTTCTTTACTCCTGAGCCATCAGGAGTGTCTGCATGAATATATCTTTATATATAGAAAACTGGACACAGGGCCACATCGATAGGTCTTGCTCTCCCTCTGGTTAAGTCCTGAGATCTCAGACAACCTGACCATGTGCTCACTGCCCACTTTGTCAAGCTCAGGGCGACAGGCCCACTTCCAACAATGTCCTAGGGAAGACCTGAGCACTTGGCCATGACGCTGAGAGTCACTTCCTAGGCAGGTGGATAAGAAGTTTGGGGGTCCCTGAGGAGAGAGGGGTCTGGGGTTCTTGAGGAGGAAATAGGGATCTGGAATTCTCAAGGAGGAGGAAAGGGCAAACATGTTTTTTTTTTTCCTCTACATTGCTTAGTCTTAGCCACATAAAACTTTTTTTTCCCTTTAAGCCTGGAACTGATGATTACACAACAAACAACTCAGTTTAAACTCTATACTAAGGATTATATATGCTAAGGATTATATTCCAGTAGTCATGTATGGATGTGAGCGTTGGACCATAAAAAAAGCTGAGCACCAAAGAATTGATGCTTTTGAACTGTGGTGTTGGAGAAGACTCTTGAGAGTCCCTTGGAGGAGATTCCCTTGCAAGGAGATCCAACCAGTCCATCCTCAAGGAAATCAGTCCTGAATATTCACTGGAAGGACTGATGCTGAAACTGAAACTCCAGTACTGTGGCCACCTGCTGCAAAGAGCTGACTCATGTGAAAAGACCCTGATGCTGGGAAAGATTGAAGGCAGGAGAAGGGGACGACAGAAGATGAGATGGTTGGATGGCATCACTGACTCCATGGACATGAGTTTGAGTAATCTCTGGGAGTTGGTGATGGGCAGGGAGGCCTGGTGTGCTGCAATCCATGGGGTCGAAAGAGTCGGACACGACTGAGCGACTGAACTGAACTGAACTGAGAATGTATATTATGGGAATGGGTCTGGTAGGATCTTTCTGTTGTTAAGGTCTAATCCTCTTATCCTGGAATGTAAATTGTGGGAGTGTGTCAAGTGAAATTTTTACAACCTTGAGGCATTCTTTTGATTTATTGTCATAACTAATTTAAAAAGCATATGACTCCCTTCCTAACACTAGTGAGGGGGGCACACTCTGTCCCGCTTCTGATGTCTGTGTCAGAAGCTTCCCCTGTCCCTTCTGTCACTTTAATAAAACTCTGCTACACAAAAGCTCTTGAGTGGTGAAGCCTGGTCCCTGGTCCCGAAGCTAAGTCTTCTTCTTCGGAGATCGTGAATCCAACATCGATCACCATAAGCTATCAACTCCAAGGGATAAATGTCTGAGTTCTGTGGGTCATCTAGGCCTAGTGCCAACTGAGCTCAGCGTGATGCTCTATGAATGAAACTGGGCAACAGAATGGAATTGAAACCCTCCTAAACCTCAGCTTGTGACAAGTTACTGAAAAGGACTGCCACATGTACTTAAACATCAAAAGAAGCTAAGCATTTCCGTGATTAAAATAAAATAAACAGGGTCATCATTACCATCTTTCTAAATTCCATATATATACTTTAATATACTGTGTTGGTGTTTTTCTTTCTGACTAATTTCACTCTGTATGACAGGCTCCAGTTTCATCCACCTCATTAGAACTGACTCAAACACATTCTTTTTTATAGCTGAGTAATATTCCATTGTGTCTATGTACCACAGCTTTCTTATCCATTCGTTTAACGATGGACATCTGGGTTGCTTCCATGTCCTAGCTACTGCAAACAGTGCCGCGATGAACACTGGGGTGCACGTGTCTCTTTCAATTCTGGTTTCCTCGGTGTGTATGCCCAGAAGGCTAGGGTGGGACGGTTTGAAAGAATAGAATTGAAACATGTATATTACTGTATGTGAAACAGATGATCAGTGCAAGTTCAATGCACGAAGCAGGGCACTCAAAGCCGGTGCTCTGGGATGACCCAGAGGGATGGGGTGGGGAGGGAGGTGGGTGGGGGGTTCAGGATGGGGGACACATGTACCCTTGTGGCTGATTCATGTCAGTGTATGGCAAAAATCACCACAATAGTGTAAAGTAGTTAGCCTCCAATTAAAATAAATTAATTTAAAATAAAAAATAAATTTTTTTTAAAAAGGAAGAGCATGACTTCTAAGTATGCCTTTCTACCTTATCTGGCTGAATTTGAGACAACATTTCCATTGACTTCTTTGTCTAGTTTCAGCCTCCAGTTTAAGGAACTAAAGTCAGCATGCTCAGCAGACACAGAAAGGAAGCATTTCGTGTGGCATTAACCACTGAAAACAGCAATAATAATAAAAATGATAGAGCAGGGTCTTTCCTCTCTCCAAGAAAGAGCATATGAAAGAGAAAGTCTTATCATCAGTTACTTTCATAAATCTTCAAATTGGTAATTTGTAAATTCTACAAGTGATACCATAGCACCATTTAGGGGAGAATGCCATGTAAACCAAACATAATTTTAGGCTGTATTCTGAACATCTTTATGTTTTGTTAATGCAAAAGGTTTTTTTAACAAGACAGATATGGAATAAAATTACCAAATATTTCTGACCAGTTCTTTTCTTCCAAATTTAAGATGTTTCTTTTGGATGTGGTACATATTCACAATGGAATATTACTCAGCCATAGAAAAGGAATGAATCTGAGTCAGCTGTAATGAGGTGGGTGCGCCGAGAGCCTGTGCTAAAGCGTCGAATACGGCAGAAGAGAAAAAAATAAATGTCAAATATCAGCGCATATATATGGAACCTCAAAAAAGGGCAGTGATGGACCTATTTGCAGGGAAGAGAGAGAGACAGAGACCTATAGAGAATGGATGTGTGGACAGAGAAGGGGAAGGAGTGAGTGGGAGAAATTCAGCATGCAGCGCTGACTACACACACGAATAGCTCTGACCATGTGCACTACTTTATATGCGAAATAGAAAGTTAGCAGGAACCTGCCGCGTAACGCAGGGAGCGTAGCCCGGTTTTCCGCGATTACCTAGAAGGGTGGAAGAGGCGGGTGGATGGGTCAGGAAGGAAGGGATATCGCACACATGTGACTGATTCACTTTGTCGTACGGCAGAAGCTAACACAACATTGCACATTATCCTCCAATTTTTTAAAAAAATAATCGTTTTAACATCACATTTCTCATTGCTTTTGAGGTCTTTAAACTACTGTCGTGTTTATCCTCTCTGAGACACTACTGATGAAAAAGGGATTACATTTTTCTTTCAAACACCTGAGTATCAAACTGTAGTTTACATGTACTGAAAAAAAAGAAAATCAAGGGAATCTCGTCCTTGGAGAAAGACGGTCTTACACACATCAGCAGAGAAGATTTCCCTATAGACCTACATGTGGAGAAGGCATGTCTACTTGTTGAAAAGCATGAAGCGGTCTCATACTGATCATTGATTCTTTCCTCAGCACTGGGGAGATGACCCCCAGGAGGGGTGCTGTCCGGTGGCCCGTTTGTTGGGGAGCTGACCAAGAGGAAGGAGAAGGAAGCATCCAGGGAAGATTCAAGACCTGCCCGCTGCTCCCCACCAAGCGGTTTGGTGACAGGACTCTGCTTCAGCCACTCAAGTCCTGTGCGGAATGAAAGCTTAAATGTGGGAGTGAGAGAGTCAATTCCTAGGCAGGTTGATAAGAAGTCCGGGGGTCCCCAAGGAGACAGGGGTCTAGAATTCTCGAGGAGGAGGAAAGGACAAACTTTTTTTTCCTCTACATTCCTTAGGATTATGCAACAATAATGTATCCGGCTTGAGGACAGTTTCTGGAAAAAAAACCTTCTGGCTAATCCTGTTATCTTAAAATGCAAATTACGGGAGTGGGTCTAGTAAGGTCTTGACAACCTGCAGGCATTCTTTTAATTCACTGTAATAAGTAATTAAAAAGTATATAACTCCATTGCTAACACTAGCGAGGGGGCACTCTTTCTGCCCCCCCTTCTGATGTCTATGTCAGACGCTTTCTCTCTTTTATACTTTAATAAAACTTTATTACACAAAAGCTCTGAGCAATCAAGCCTCGTCTCTGGCCCCAGATTTGAATTCTTCTCCGCCGGAGGCCAAGAATCCCAGTGTCTTTTCATGGTTCATCAACAACCTTTCAGGAGCAACAAGGGAGATGACGTCGAGATGATCTCATGGCGGGTTAAGGAGTCCTACCGGTGCCTGCGTTTCCCTCAGTCTAGTGGGTTCTGCATGCATCTCAAGGCTTAAAAGCATGCAGTTCTTGGAGGAAATAAATGTGAACACTCATCGGAAAATGGCTTCCCTGGTGGTCCAGTGCTTTAAGAACCCGCCTTGCAAGGCATGGGACACCACTTGGATCCCTGTTCTGGGGAGATCCCACAGTCCTCGCAGCAAGGAAGTCCGTGGGCCACAACTTCTGAGCCTGAGTTCTAGAGCCCATATTCTAGAAGCCACGGCAATGAGAAGCCCTCACATCACAATGAAGAGGAACCTCCGTTTGCGGCAACGAGAGGAAGCCTGGATGTACTAACAGGGACTCACCACAGCCACGAATAAGTAAATGGATCTTCTGAAACGGAGAATTACGTCCCTCCACCATGTATTGGGACTTCTCCGGTGGTTCAGACGGTAAAGCGTCTGCATACAATGCGGGAGACCCGGGCTCAATCCCCGGGTCGGGAAGATCTTCTGGAGAAGGAAATGGCAACCCACTGCAGTGCTCTTGAATGGAAAACCACATGGACAGAGGAGCCTGGTAGGCTACAGTCCACAGGGGTCACAAAGAGTCAGACACGACTGAGCGACTTCACTCACTCACTCATCATGCATTGTGAGCACATGAAGCCAACCTTCTTGTGGTTAATACACTCCTATCTTTCACCCCACAGGATGGGGGGTGGAGGTGAGGTGTATGCACACCAATTTAAGTGACTTGCACTCTCAGGCTATTTTGAGCAAGGCACAGGACGTTAACCTCCTCTGTGTAGGTGTGCGGGAGATGTCATCTCAAGGGTGACATCAGGAGACCCAGGTTCCATCCCTGGGTTGGGAAGATCCCCTGGAGGAGGAAAGGACAACCCACTCTGGGATTCTTGCCTGGAGAATTGCACGGACAGAGGACCCTGGCAGGCTGCAGTCCACGGGGTCGCACAGAGTCAGACAAACAGATCTGCCCACGGAACACTCACCTGTGCCACGGTCTGCCACGGCGTGGCGTCGTCTTCACTGGGATGGATCCCATAATTCCACCTTCTCTGCACCACATAGATCACGGGTTCAATGGAAACGTTGAACTTCGAGGACCACTTGACCTCCAGCTGCCCAGACTGCAGTTCCGTGAACCTCAACTCCTTCCTGGGCTTCAGGGGGACACCTGAAATAGAACCATGCCAGTCACCACAGCCTGCGTGAGACGCGGACCGCGGTGAACGCTGAGGAAGGAGAGCTAAAGCGGAGACGAAACTCATCTCACAACAAAGGACCGTCTGTTTCCTTTCGTAACAGCAGCGTCTCCCTATCAGGGGTTCAGTCTGAAATCGTATGATGCCAAATTCAGCTTTGCGTTCCCGCCGTTTTCAAGGGTCTAAATTGATTCTTGATCCTCAACAAGGTTTTGTCTCCCCAGTAACCTCGAGTGTGAGTCACTTAGCTGTGTCTGAGTCTTTGTGACCCCCAAGGATGGTAGCCTGCCAAGCTTCTCTCCATCCATGGGATTCTCCAGGCAAGAATACTGGAGTGGGTTGTCATTCCCTTCTCCAGGGGATCTTCTTGAACCAGGGATCGAACCCAGGTTTCCTGCACTGTGGGCAGATTCTTTACAGTCTGAGCCGCCAGGGAAGAAGCTCATAGCCTCGAGAGCAGTTCTTTTATGTGCATTCTTTCAAATAAAAAAAAAAAGTGCAAGAACTTTATAGATGGCAGTGTTAGAAGACATTCCTACTAGGGTTAAAACTTGATAAATGGGCATACGAAACCTTTTGCAAGGGGAAGAGAAATACCTAACATTTTCTATGCGCCCGGAGTCCTTCTGTTTAATCCAATTTGGTTTGTAATGAAAAGCTGAGAGAATTCCCATTTTCTAACGCCTAAGTGAAGAGGAGGAATTAGGTCTTGACTTGTTACATAAACGGGTTTCCCTGACGGCTCAAGCGGTAGAGAAGCTGCCTGCAATGCAGGAAACACAGGAGACCCTGGTTTGATCTCTAGGTCGGGCAGATCCCCTGGAGGAGGAAAGGACAACCCACTCTGGGATTCTTGCCTGGAGAATCCCATGGACAGAGGAGCCTGGTGGGCTGCAGTCCATGGGGTCAGTCCATGGGATCGCAGAGAGTCGGACACGGCGGAGCGCGCACGTACACAGCCAGCTGCACCAGGGAGCCTAACACGGAATCCACCAGAGATGACAGTCAGTACGAGTCTCGAGTCTTTCTTTTCACATAACACGCTCTGCCTCTGCTGATATATCTCAGGGTGCTTATGACACGATTCCTGAGTTTTCTCTCCTCTCTGTCTGAGTGAGTTTTCCTTTTAAGGAAAACATTTTAAAGTCCAATGCTCTCACATATGTGCTCACAGCATACAGGAATGGTTTCTGAAGCATGGGTCTCGTGGATTTCCCCAAGTGATGGCCAGAGCTCTCCCCTGCTGACTTGCTGTTTAAAATTGGGGGGAAAAAAAAAAAGATGAATTTATAATGTTTGGGTTTTGGCCTGCGTGAGTGCCTGGCTTCAAGAAAAAGTCCCTCACAGGTGGCTCGTTGGAACATACTTCATCATTTTGATTTCTCTTCCCCCCCGACGGAGCAAGCAAGTTGCCTGGTAACCCAAAGATGTAAGAACCATGGTTCAAAATAGCAGCCATGATGGAAAGAGGAACTTAGAACAAATTCATAACACCAAAGGGATAGATGAAACCGATCGAATTTACGTAGAGTGCACGGCAGTGTGATGTTCACTGCCACTGCGAAACAAAAACACCAGCTGCTCGTAAAGCCATTCTGCACCAAGAATGAGCGTTTGCCTACAGCGCTGACAACTCCTTTGAAACTGTTAATTCGGAAGGCTGCATTTCGGTTTCCATTTCCTAAGTTTCAGCGGCGGGAAAGCTACAAAACAGAGAGAAGATCTGATGTAGCTTAACGGCGTGGCTGAAATTTCAACTCATCTCATGTTGATCTGAATCCACACTGAGGTCTTATGGCGGGCAATTCTAAAGTCATTCATCATTGATCTGGATGGAGCTGGGTGATTTAAACGCAGCACGTGTGTATCTGCTCAAAAGCTCACTGATGAATTTTTTTTAATTAATTGATTTTAATTGGGGGCTAATCATTTTACGGTATTGTGGTGGTTTCTGCCACACATTGACATGAAATCGGCCACGGGTGTACATGAAAAAAAAAAAAAACTATCTACTTATGTGTTTATTCATTTCCGGCGGTGTTGGGTCTTAGCTGCAGCTTGCACGAGTCCCAGAATGCGGGCTGCCAATCCATTCCAGCATTCTTGCCTGGAGAATCCCATGGATGGAGGACACTGGTGGGCTGCAGTCCATGGGGCTGCAGAGAGGTGGACACGACTGAACGACTAAATAGAAACAACACACGACCTGCCTTTGACACCCGGCTTCCCCAGACCACACTGGCAGGCACTCCCTACTGCCATGGTCTGGTCACGGGGTCTCCTTCACTCTGAAATCTCTTGCCTTCAGTTTCCTGACATAGACTCTGGAATATGTCCTGGCTCAGCCCAGATGCCGCCCCCTTCTCAGCCACCTTCCCGCAACCTCCAGCTCCATTCCTCGGTTGAACCTGTGACCATCGACATATGCATTCAAGTGCCTCTGACCACAGCCAGCTCGCCAAATGTCTTGTCTTCCCCATGAACCTAAAGCCCCTGGGGGAGGGGTGTGTGTGTCAAGAACTGAGTTCTCCTCCACCCTCCCCCCCCGCCAAATAAATGTCTCCATAGGGGTCACTCGGCAGAAGCAAATGGTGTGGAGCTGTTCAGTGAAGAAATGGCCTAGCCCACTGCGTTATCCTTCTCTCAGGAATACGCCTGGAAAAGCAAGAGTAAGCCCACTTCTTTATTCTTTTCTCAGGAAGAAGTAGGAGGAAGACATGGCAACAGGGGTAAAAATCTCCACTGGAGAGTCTCAGAGAGGAACGAGAAGGCTCATCGCAGGCATTCGCTGCCACCTCCTCTGGGATCGTAGCTATTCAAGGAGCTCGCATCTCCCTCCGCCATCAAGGTCCTGGGACTCAAACATTCCTTTGCTTCCTCTTTAAACAGAGCAAGGTGAAGCACCAAGAAAATCTACAAACAATAAATGCTGGAGAGGGTGTGTAGAACAAGGGAACCCTACTGCACTGTTGGTGAAAATGGAGTTTACTCAAACTCACGTCCATCGAGTTGGTGATGCCATCCACCCATCTCTTCCCCTGTCATCCCCTTCTCCTGCCCTCAATCTTTCCCAGCATCAGGGTCTTTTCCAGTGACTCAGTTCTCCGCATCAGGTGGCCAAAGGATTGGAGCTTCAGCTCCAACATCAAGTCCTTCCATACGAACCAGCAATCCCACTATTGGGCATACACCCTCAGAAAACTACAACTGAAAAAGACACAGGTACCCCAACTGTTCATGACAATAATAGCTAGACCATGGACGCAACCGTGATGTCCACTGACTGACGGATAGATAAAGAGGTTGTGTTACATATACACAGCCAGCCATAAAATACTACTCAGCCATAAAAAATGAATGACTCTAGTTCTAGTGAGATGGATGAAACTAGAGCCTGTTATACAAGTAAATCAGAAAGAGAATAATAAATATTGTATATGAACACATGTATATGGAATCTAGGGAAACGGTGAAAGTTTAAGTGTTAAAGTTGCTCAGTCACGTCCGACTCTCTGAGACCCCACAGACTGCAGCGCACCACGCCTCCCTGTCCATCACAAACTCCTGGGGATTACTCAAACTCACGTCCATCGAGTCGGTGATGCCATCCACCCATCTCGTCCTCTGTCATCCCCTTCTCCTCCCACCTTCAATCCCTCCCAGCATCAGGATCTTTTCCAAAGAGTCAGTTCTTCGCATCAGGTGGCCAAAGTGTTGGAACTTCAGCTTCAACATGAGTCCTTCCAATGAATATTCAGGACTGATTGCCTTTAGGATTGACTGTGCTTTATACATATACATATAAAACGTATATATATATGCTGTATTGTATATATATACATGTTATATGTGTGTGTGTGTATTGTAACACACACATACACTTATGGCTGATTCAAGTTGTATGGCAGAAACCCAATACAACACTGCAAAAGCAATGATCCCCCAATTAAAAATAGATTTTTTTAAAAAGGGACAGAAGATGGCTAGTTACTTCCCTATGCTCACAGAGCACTGTCTCTGAGACTGCAAGCCCACCCCTCTCCTTGGCTCTCCACAGAGAATCCTCTGGCGTAAACTCAGCTCCAGTACCTGGTCCAGCGCTGAAGTACCCTGAACTCAGCGAGGGCACCCCCTGCCCCCACACCCCCAGACCCTGAGGCCTCGGTCATGAATGTCATCTGACGGCCACGGGCCTCCACACCTCACGACTGAGCATCAGGGCGCTGTCACCTCAAATTCCTTCCCTTAAGCATCTCCTTAATTCTGATTGGCAACGATCTCGCCCCGTGCGTGTGAAGAAACGGTCCATCTGGTCTGCATTGAGGTCGGCTGGCTGCCCTGATTGGGAGGAACTGCACCCTCTGGGTTGTTAATTGTGTGCAGATGGGCCCGGCCCCCACCGTCGCCCCTCCTTCCAGGGGTCCCGTTCTTGCGAGCTCCCCCAGCCTCCTGACGGCATCCCTGGAGCGGAGGGAGGAGATCTGGCCTCGGTGTGGTTTTCATTATGTAAATGACTACCATCTTTCTTTATTGGTTTCAAACAACCTCGTCATCTGAAATGTAAACGGTTCCGTTAAAAATGTCAAAACGCTACGGTATAGCATCCCGCAGAACATGGGGGTGTTTTTGTAAAGCGTAGCAAGTCTTGCTGAAATCAAAAGGCGCGGAAACCCAACACTTCAAAAAAATGTTCAAAACAGATTGATTGATAGAAAAATCGACGAACGCTGGCAATCGGCAGTTGCAAATCACCAGAGGTGACTGTTCAGAAAAGGACCTGTCACAAGTCCAGGTGTAAAAACGCACCAAGATAGAGCGTTTCAGTGAGTCATTCATTAGTCACTGCACAACGTCTCTCATAAAGACAGCTATACTCAGGGCATCTGTGTTCCTATCACGTGAGGGCATGTGGTCACTGTATTCAAAGTGCGAGCGGTTCATTTGTGAAAAGTGGTCCACCTCGAAAATCCTG